CATGAAAACATGATGCAACTGACACAGAAGATCCAAAAGAGCCATTAGTGTCCTCTCTTTTATCCTGACACTGACTTCTGGGTATCTGCCATCACTTGATATTACATTACAGCAGCAGCAACCCCCCGTTTATCTTTATTACCACCCTCTAATCTCTTGTGACAGTTAATCATGATACAAGTTGTGCGGGTTGCTTCAGTTCTTCACAGTTTAAGGCATTGTCTTTGTTTGTCTTCCAATGTAGCATTCGTAGCTTTTGATCAATGAATGGTCCATTATCTGGCATATATCCCGTCACAACTCGTGCCTTAAAAAGAGAAGTCAAGCGTTCCCCGCCCTCGCTGCCGGTTAGCCACACTGTGATTAATGTCTCCATGGTCTGGTCAAAGTGTCGATATCTTTAACAGCTGGGCCCATCTGTCATCTTTTTCCTGTGACACCCCTGAACGTAACTCAGGTTCTATCAGGGAGGCCATCCATCAAATTTGTAAACAGAGACGTCTCACATTAGCAGCCCTGAACACTTCTCATCATATAGCATAACAGACAAGCAATCATCTGATATTATGTAGGGCTACAGGCTAATGTGAATTATTAACGGAAATATACAGCACACCAGCTGCTGATTGGATAAGGCATCTGTGCCTAAAGTAATGGTGGGGGGAGCACTACAGGGGCAACAATTTCACATTGCAGAGGCAAACTGCTGATTTTACTTTCTTTTGGGGGGGGAGGGGGGAGGGTCTTACTACTCAATCATGGACCACAATGATGGGCTGTGATGAGTCTTTAGAATATAACTTTCCTTTGTGTGCATATCAAAGCACAGACCCCATTTTCTCTAAACAGTCAATGTCTTTATATTGATTTGTTTGATTCGCCGTGCTGGAAAATCACAGAAGCAAAGTACTGACTTGTTTTTCATTTACAGTTATCGTGGATCTTCTCTATGGGAGACTCATAAAAATAACTGATACACACACTCACCTTGAACTCAGAAACCAATAATCCATGCAATACATTGCAAAAACTTTTTTATGCACCTTGAACATTTGCACATTTTGCCATGTTACCCCCACAAAGGTAATGGATTTTATTAGTATTTTACTGTGATAGGCTCATGCAATGTCGCAAGACTTATTTATATGTATTGTTACATTAAGATCTTATATTGGTGATGAGAGACTCCAACCCCTGAGCAAAGCTTTTTCCAGAACATTGCAAAGATTCTCAATGGGATTCAGGTCCGAACTGTTTCTTAGATGATCTATGTGTAAAAAGTGATGTTTAATCCTCCCTAAATCACTCATTTACAATTTGATTCCAAAGAAAGCTTGACCTTGTCATCTTGGAACATCTCCGTGTCATCAGGGTGGTAACAGTGCACTGATGGAATAACCTGAACATTCAGTATATTCAGGTAGTTAGCTGACCTAATAATATTGCTGAACCTGCACCTGACCTAATTCAGCAACCCCAGATCGGAGCGCTTCCCCCACTGGCTGTTACAGTAGACATAAGGCATGATGGGTGTATCACTTCCTCTGCCTCTCTTCTTACTCTGATGTGCCTATCACTCTAGAAGAGGGTAAATGTGTTCAGCTGTTGCTTTTCTTCGATTTGATGTCACCAAGCATCGTCTTAAGCAGGCATAAGGGCTCAGCATGGTCAAACCAAAGTTGAAATGTTGATGGGTCACTTGGTTTCTGGATGTCCTCAAGACCCAGCGAGTTGAACGCTTGTGAGCGGATGACATGAAGCCGAGAACAAAATGGCATAATTTTCATCAAGTAGCTGCAACAATGAGAACAGATTTCGTCAGTTCAGCATGACTATTGCAGAGCCCTTGACATCCTTTTCACAACCACAGGATGTGAGTTTTTACATGTTTCTTTACAAAATGAGAAGCTACTCTTTGCATCGTCTAGTGTTAAATAAGACGATGGACAACAGCTAGAAGACAATTGTCCATGCAATAACTATCAAATAGGAAACTCATGCCTAATTGCTCAGTTAAATTCAGGTGGTGACTTTTCTTTTGGCCAGGCAGTGTACATTGTACATAAATATTTTGGCAAGGTATGGAGTAGAGATCCACAGCATAAAAAAAAATTGCAGTCATCATTGCAGTATCAGAAAGTGGATCAAATCTCACCGTCCTTTATTCGAGTAGAAAATCCATTCATTATTGATTATTTGTATTTATATGTTTCCTTAAATATGGATGAGTTCCTTCAAAAGCCCTAGATCTCAAAGACCAAAATGCTAAAGCATAGGGATGATGTTGGCGTCAGACAGTCAAAAAAGGAAGTGGGTGGAAACAATGGGTTAATTGCAATCAATATTATTGCTGCAATATTCAAGAATGATCATAATAATCATCCATCCATCCATTTTCTAACACCCTTGTCCCTTAGTGGTGTCGGGAGAGGTGCTGGTGCCTCTCCAGCTAACATTCCGGGAGAGAGGCGGGGTACACCCTGGACAGGTCGCCAGTCTGTCGCAGCATAATATTATTATTATTATTATTATTATTATTATTATTATTATTAATCTAGTATGTCTGTATGTAAAAGCATTTTGACAATTTGTTTTTTAAGAGGGTATCAAAATTCAAGAGAGCCGAGATGTCTTCTTATGGTGTTATTCGTAAAGGCCTCGCACTTATTGCTAAGATAAATACATGAGGCTGAGATCAGATGATGGTGGATCAACCTCATGGTTCTACACCGGATCTACAGCCTGCCACTCCGCCTCTCCCAGCTCTCTCGTAGCACTATGCAGTACTCACTCTTGGCAGGGCTTGTGCTGACTCTGCAGAGGAAGTAATATATGGATGTTGGAAATCAAGATATGGAGCTTTTGTCAGCTCTGTTTTGTCAGTGCTGCAGATAAATGTAGTTAAAATATGTTTTCAGCGTTGATTCTGGAAAGTCTTTTTTAGCTACAATTCAATTTCTATTCTTCCCTATATGCCTTTAGCAATAATACTTTATAAATTCACAGCTAAATCACAAATAATGGCTTCTACAGCATAGATTAACTTGTTGAATTTAAAGATAAAAATCCAGTCATACCACTGATAAAACATCACTCTTGTTCCCCTCTTGCTGCTGAGCATTTGTAGTTCATTATTTTGACTACAGCAAATCACATAGCTTTAAAAAATGAAAAACTCTATTAGATGAAGAAAGTGAAATTGAGCAGAGGTCCAGCAAAAGTGGAGTGAGATAGTGTTTCTTGATTCTTTGAAACCTAAGCATGATATGGCACACACTGAGCAGTGGAACATCTAATTGTACCAGCACCCCGGCAAAAAAGTCAGTCGGTTATGAAGACATAATGGAAAACAGGATTCTTCCTCTGTGCTTCATGTAATATACACCTTTTTGTATTTCTTCACTCAGAGGTCCCTTTCCCTTCATGTGCTGTGGTTAAAGCAGCGATACCCATTGTAACAGTAGGAAGCATTTCACATGTATTGAGAAATCCAGCGAAGGAGGCCAATAATCAGGGCAGTTAAATGGAAATAGTTTCATTTCCTTTGGTGTAAACAAATACCCCATGTAGTCCCCGGACCAGAGCTGTGGGTAATCGTCTGCTATAACTCAACAGAACTCTTTGCCTTGAGCTATACATAATACTTCCTGCACTTAACTAAATCCATTTTTCAACCCTCAAAAGAGTCATGACATACCACTAGTTGGAGAAGTGACTGGGAAAATTAAACTTAAGATTTTTTTTTTTTTGCCTCATAATGGTATTCTCTATTCTCAAAATGTGTTTATGCATCCTTATGTGTTCTATATTACACAAAATCAGAAGGATAAAGTGCCCAGCCTAACCCTTTCCTGTCGTCAAATAATTTATTTTCTATAGTAATTATTTGTGGCCGTTAGTTAATCAATAGGTTAATACTGTACTATGGATTCTTTTACTCAAAGGCTCTCCTCTTATAAATAACTTTGATAATGTCTGAAGCAATGTAAGCTAATTAACTGATGTTTAATACATAGAATTTAGAGTAAAGTGTTAATAAAAGAGATATATAAAAAATTGCATATGGGGCTACGTAAATAAAAAAGGTTAGAAATTTACATACACTGCTCACTGGCATAATTTTTTTATCTCCTTTTGGGGTTTAAATGTTTTATTTAAACATTTTTTTAAGGAGGACACAATAATTCAGTAAATAGTAAAAACAGTGTTTGTATTATCAGTAAACCCCAGAGAAAATAACTTTTCAAATGCATTATTAAAACCCAAACATTATCTCAACTGTATCTTATGTGAACCTTTGTCAGGAATGTTGGTTAACTTTAGCCTCTTGTTTGAAACCTTGAGCTTGTTTTTTTTTTTTTGTCTGTTTTTATGTACAGTCCTGCGTTTCATTCTTTTTTAATTAGCACATTTGGTCCCTGAGATGAGCTACAGTCCAACTCAGGAGAGGACAAAACCTGCATGAGTGTAATAGCATTACTCCACAAATAGATGCAGGAGGCCTTTTTCTCTTCTGCAGGTGGTGGGACTAAATGCCACACCCTCTGTTCGGAAAGCCTCTAGAAACCAGTGATTCTTATGTGGTTTGCATAAGCTAGCATAAACACTTGACCTATTTGTTTCCTTCAGTCTTCAGTGGCTCCTGTCAAGTGCCTTATGCTTGTGTTTTTTGGCACATATTTTCTTTATAAAAAGCAAGCGACAGGAGCACAGGTAGATGCTTTCGGTGGAAACATCTATGATGACTCGCCATTAGATCACTCCCCATGTTGTCACTGAGACAGAGCTCACAATTAGAAGGTTTTTGGATCTACTGCCTGCTCGTCTACCTAACGCGATGCAGATCCTCTCGAGCAAAATTAAAACATTGCTGAGATGTACAGTACTTTATGAATTTAAGCTATAATTGACAGTGATTCGGAGTTGCTTCATGGCCTCTCTTGAATTGCCTGCATTGTTCTGGCCGATTAGCCACTAACTCACCTATATTTCCTCCCCAGACAATGCAGATGATGGTGTGCGCCATCAAAGCCAAAATAAGGTGGGTGCCAATTAGGTGGAGACGGGAGGAGGATTCCAGGTGCATTTTAATGCAAATTCACCCCAGCACCTGCACCCTGTTGTCTTTCCATTCGAAGAGATTTTATAGCTGGTGGACTAGGTCAGAAAAAATTATGAAAGTTTTTCAGTTATTAGAAGAAAAAAAAAAAAAAGCCCTCTTTTCAGGGCTTAGCTTGGCTTAGAGGGTGGGAAGGGGTGGGCTGAACTTTGTAATGATGCCTCACTAAATGTTCTAAGCATAAATTTAAATTGACTTTCTGCCAGTGGAGTTTCAGTAAAATAGCTTTTGGCCTTTAATGTTAAAAGTTAACAGGAATAATCTAATAATCCATTTTCTCACATTCTGGGTTGAAAAACTGCAACACAGCGTGAGCCTGCACTGTTATCTGGGCCCCCCAACACCCCCCGCAGGTTACAGTCGTCTCTCTCTCTCTTCTTTTTTTTTTTTTTTTTTTTTTTTAAGATTTTCCTGATGAGTATACAGTAAACTAAAGCCTGTGAGTCAAACCCGTGCAGATCAGTTGTTACATCAGCTTTAATAACCAAAAATGTTGAAATGAGATAAAACACGACAGTCTTACCTCAACATATAAGGTTATTTTGAAGGTATGATAGCTTCCCTGTGAAGGGCATCTTAAAAAAATAAATGCTGTATCTATGTTATAAAAAGCTAATTCAATGAATAATTTCAAAAGGCAAAAGAAAGAATTAGTACCGACTCGCCATATTCAACTGCAAAGCTTTTCCTTTCTAAGCATTAGCAATGAGACATGAACTTCCTTCTTAAACAAGCTATTCTCAAGCAGGTTTGGTCATGACTCTCCCTTCTTAGGGTGTATTTCCTGGATTTACAAATACACAAGTGACATGCTAAACAGTGGCCTTTTAAATCAAAATTCTTTGTCATTATTTGAATGAAATCAAGTCAGGACAAGACGGGAATAGCAGTCAGAAGAAGCTTGCTGTTGCAAATCTTGACGCTGTACCTCTGTGATTGCTCAGGCCACCACGGAATAAAGATTAGAAGAAAATCACTAATCACAGCGGATGTCATTAGCATATTACCAATAAGGGGTGGAAGAGAAAAAAGGGAAAAGAGGAATTGCCTTATAATACTGGATAAAGTGCAAATCAATTCCATGTATGGATGCACACAGCTGCTTGACAAACAGACATATTCACTCCCAAACATGGGCGAAGGAAGTTGTCTGAGAATGATGTTTTTTTCAATGTTTTTGTCTGAGTTACTCGCTGGAGCACTTGATGCTAATATCACATTCCCCCTCTCTCTTTTGATCAGCTTTTGCAGCTGGGCTACCCTGCCTTGCTTGGATGCATCAACAAAGCTTGAAGTGGCCACTCTAATCTGGTTAAGTACTGCCTGGTTGGGGAGAAATTAGCTGAATTCTTTTAACTTTTCAAACAAACATAATGCAGTCAAACTTGTTGGATGGGAATCAATTACTAGAGCTGAATATAGGGTTTGAGGGAGAGGGGATGGTGGAGATATCGTATAATTTCATTGCTGGAAATCATCTAATATGTCTATTCAGTGGCATGAGCCTGTAGTATCACGTCGAAGACGTATTTTAGTCCGATGGAATGAATGAGGCAGAGAAGTAACTGTTGCCAGAATGTGCTGCACAAATCTTTTTTCCCCTGTGGGTGATATTGCCATTATGCGCATTACTTCAAAAATAGTTATTCCTTGCCTAAATCCATGAGATATCACCAGGAGAAATGGGATCATTTCAGGGTAATTGTACAGTTTCTCAGTATGATAAGTTAGACAGGTGAGTGCAACCTACTGTCACAATGGTATTCGTGTATTAATGAGACGATGTCTGTATAAATCCAAAAGCAAAACACACAGGTTAAAAGTTTTGTTTAGATTGTGCACTGCTATGTAAAACATTGCAACATATACAAGTGGAAACCTTGCAATATACTGGTAAGTGTTATGTAAATTAGAAGTATGTATTTCATTTTATTACTAAAGCCTTTTTAACTAACTGAAATGTTAAAGTGTTATGCACATAGGTTTGAAATTTGATATTTAGGGTTACTCAATGAAAAGGACACCAAATCTCTTAAGTTATACAGAAGTATCGTTGTTTTATGTCACTTGAGATTACCAAAAACATTTGTATTTCCTAATCCCAGAATTATAAGCACAGCATTTTTTTTAAAAAAAGATTCTTGCTCAGTGTCAGAAGTTTACGTACATTTCCTTAGTATTTGATGCTATGCCATTTTAAACTGTAGGATTACGGTCAAACATTTTAGGTATCCTTCAACAATCTCCACAATACGCTGGAAGTTTCATCAATTACTTATGACAAAAATAGTGCAGCCGAGTCAGGCTTGTTGGTCATCTTGCTTAGGCACATATTTAGAGCTCAGCTTGCAAATTTGCCATGAGAATGAGATCAGAGGTTTAAGAAAAAAAAAAAAACACACACACAGACTTTGGTGTCCTTTTGCACTGTGTAACAATTTGGCAGTATGCTAATGGTAATTTCCATTTGAAAGAGCTTCATGTGTCAAAGTTTAAACTTCTTGGCTGATGTTGGACAATGCAACTGAGATCAGGACTTTGTGATGGCCTCTCCAAAACATTGATTGTGTTGCTCTTAAGTCACTTTGTGATTAATTTGGAGGTATACTTAATGTCCCTGTCCATTTGGAATATCTACGTGTGCCCAAACTTTACCTCCCTTCTTCACTGTTCCAAGAAATTGTCATGTCCCAATTGATATTTTGTTTTCAACTTTCACTTTTTACAAGTGATTGCACTCTCAAACAAATAATTATATCATTATCGACTTTCGTAGCAGATGGTTTCGCTTGGAAAAAAAAAAAAGATATGATCACAATACAGACATTTTCGTTGTATTCAACGTTTTCTCCCATCAGATCTTAAAGGCAGATTGTCTCCATTTTTCAATGTGTCTAAAGCTTTTGTTTGAGAAAAGTCTGTTAAATCTGTCTTGCTGCTAATAAACTGCCATTATTCCCCTCAACAAGGCTGCGCTCATTAATAATGCTTCTGTCAGTTGCGTATTCTCTTCTGTGAAAATAGAAAATATCATTAATTACAGTTTCTGTCAGCCACTGACAGCTCGATCAATTGTTCTCGTCCCTGAGTTCTGTTTCATTGTGTCCGTACCTAGTGACCACCTATTCTTTACTGTCTCAATGGGGATGTCCAGCATGTGAGAGCCACAAAGGCCTTGGGAGATCTCAGCACACATTGCAAAGCTTCTGTCCTGGCAACACATTAGTCATCCAAGAAGCGATCGAGTTAGGTGGCAAACTCAAAATGTGGCTTTATTTCTCTCTCGAGTAGAGATTAGGATAGGGAGTGTCAGCAAATACGAAGGTAGCATCATTTTCTTTCTTATATTTTTTTTATTTGAATAAATATCCACTTTGGTGAAAATTAAAGGGGTTTGTTCTATTTAAACAATCAACATAAGACTGGACAGCAGAGAAGCAATTTTTTTTATTATTGCTTTTCCATTTATTTTTATTTATTTTTTTATGATGTAATGATTTGTTAATTAAAAATGGCCAAAGCAAACAAAAAGTTTCAAAATATGGGCACTGCTCTAACATAAAACCTACAGTGAAAAATGTTTTATTTGAACCAGCTTAAAAAAACGTGTTACAGCTAATATTATTAGCTTTGCTCAAGCAATAATACTAATTTGATTTTCAATCAAATCCGATCAAATAAGAGTTATACCTTGAGCAAAACTAATAAAATTAGCTGTAGCAAATCAGTGAAAAAAAAAAAAATCAGTGTAGTTTTCATTGTTTCTTTTTACATTATAAACCAAAGGGAAGTCAACTGTTGCCCTGAGTGCTGCCATGTTGGACAATTAGGGGTTTTGCTTTGTGAGATGATTTTTACTCTGTGCATCATACTGCAGCAATGCTTAAGAAAAGCTAATCTGAAATTCAAAGGCAATATGACTAAGTATATATAAACGTGTATAAACGTATTTCAAATCATTCAGAATTCTCTGCAGTAAACCTGATTACTTATTGGCTAGAAAAGTGAAATGTAAATCGAAACACAGCTTTTGAATTCTGTACAAGAAAACTTGTACAAAGATTTTTTGTAAAAAATGCTTGATAAAACTAACTTTTTTCAAGCACCTTTTAAAAATGCTGGCATCAATAGGCAGGTTTTATCACACTATATGTTTGCCTTTTTGTACCATCATTTTTATTCATGCCTTCATTCTCAATGGACTGAGTATCTTGTGATTGTTTAATACCTTTTGTTAAACAATCATTTATTTCATAGTGACTACTTTCTTATTGAAGTGCATTTGGAGTTTTGCTGGGGCATAGCTGATATGTCCTGGGGCATGTGGCAATGTAAGATGGATCTGGCAATGCCTAAACGTTCTAAGTTATACCATCGACCCGTCTTTAAATTGCATGCATAATAAAAATGTGTGTTATGTATGCAGTGCTACAAGAAGTTTATTTCATATGCATTTCCTTTTTGGGGGGGCTTTGTGAAGGATACAGTTGTTCATAATTGAAAAATGACCAAAGCAAACAGAAGGAAACAGTAACCTGATGTTTCAACACCTTGGCTCTGCTCTGACAAAAATCCTACTCTGAAAAAACATGTTTATCTGAACCAACCTAAGCTTTTTTTGTTATGCTTACATGTTTGAGATCTCCAAAAGAGCTGGACTGGGACCAAAAAATGGCCCTTGCATTTTTGGCAATGGCGGCCCACCATGATAATTAATACAACACGGAAAGGCACACAACATACCTGAGGATACATGTGTGTGCATTCTGTCGAAGAGCGTAACCATGTTAAAAAATGTATATTTTTCTCTAGTAAAAGAGACTTTCATATTGGGAGAGATGGCCACATTCTCACAATTCCCATTTACAGCAAAAATTGTTGTCAAAGAAACAGTGGTGAAGATGTATTTTCAGTGTTTCATAAAAATATACTGGTTATACAAATACCCAATTATCCCCATGGTAAGTAAGAACATAGAACTGTGTAAAATAAAGAGTTCCCATCAAATTATGAAAAACAGAGAGAAGATGAGAGAGCAAGAGAGAGACAGAAGGATGGAAAGACATCCAAAGGAAAGAAAGAGAACACAGATCAGTTAAGGTATAGTTTAAATAATGACTAGGTAAACAGAGATAATAGCTTACTTTGTACTTTCATATGCTGAAACAAAGGCAGCAGGAACCTTGGTGCTCTGAGGATGACAGAAAGCAGATTTAAGGTCAGATAAGCTAGATTCATGCTGACTCTTATCTGGAATTTTTAGTAAACTCATAGTGAAAGAGAAAAATCATTTTGAAACTTCAGGGAAAGAGAATTTACTACAAATATGCCCTAAGGGAAGGCAAAAGAAGAATCCAGGTTGGTCAAGAGAACAGTGAGACATTTTTTTTTTTTTTTTACATTGACAGTATGTGTGTGTCCTTTAAATGATGCAGAAATGAAAGTCGCATTATTACAGTCATTCTTTAAAGGACAGAGGCTTTACAGCCATTCAGTTGGATGTCAGCAACAACACAAAGCAATAGCACACAATATAGTAAGCTTACAAATGCAAAGAATGTTTATGAAGTCTACACCAGTGAAAGGCATCCCTGCCCTGTCCCCTGGGTCCATAAGACAGGGCAATCTTATGGACCCAGCACTGTCAGGCCGCACGGCTTATGTAGTTACGAGAAGTTTGTTTTTGGACACACCCTTCAATTAATGAGCTCATTTTATTCTCCATGTTATCGGAAACCAAAAGAAAAAAAAAAAAAAAAAAGGACAGAAGGCCTCAGTGGGACGTTCTCTTGCTGGATTGCCTCAGGCAATTCCTCCTCAAAACTATCCATCCTGCTTTCTGGCTGAAAAACCAGCTTCTGGAAGTTGAGTAGTTGAGTTGTTTTCTGCATAAACAAACACACCCACGAAATTCTGACACAATAGTTTCTCATGCCAACAAAATAGTTTTGCATGCAAAGGGGGAGCAAAAAGTTCACCACAGGGTTTTATAGCACAAATTGATGGACAACATGAGGCGGAAAAGTTGCAACTGCAACTTTGGACAAAGGCTGAGGGGGCTGAGAGACTTCATCGGATTAGCCTACTGTCCTTCAAGAAAGTCAACTAATGGGCTGTTGCAGTCAATAAAAAAGATTTATAATATATTTTCTGAGGTAAATTATGGCAACCCCAGGCCCGAAAATGTGCGTCAATCCACCGGGCATCGCCTGTTAAACCAGATGGCCTGTCCTTGCCTGAATGCCAAATAATTTCATCACAGAGAAAGATAAAGTGAGTAAATACAAAATGCAGTTTTCAGATTATTAGTT